AAGGACTAGCCTTATCTTAATAAAGGAAGTGCTGGATCTCATCTCCTTCACAGAGCAATCTTCCCCTTAGGAGTTTTTCCAAGTCCAGTTAAAAAAAACTCTGAAGCTCTTTACTTAAACAAGCGTGTCCCCTTCCTTTTTACCTTTTTCCAGTCTGTAAGATGGAGTTGTCCATGTAGAAGTAACGGCAAAAAAAGATGTGATTTTCTAAACTATTTACGGACTGGAGGTAATCACTTCCCATTAGAAATTCACAGGAAATTGTGGGCCCAAATCCCCTGAGAAACCCACATATCTTGACAACAGAAACTTATTCCTAATTACCGAGGGGCCAGATAACTTGTAAACTCCTAATAGCTTCACAGCCTCCCAAACAGATACCCCACATATGGGGTGTGCCTCCAGACCACTGGAAGTCTTGTCCATGATACATTTAATTATGATTTCTGCGTGAGAGAAAAGTTACTATTTTAAGCCAACCTAATTTAGGAAAATGTATTACTCGCGAAAAAAGCAAGAAAATACTTTAAAATTTCTGATTTTATTTATTGAAGAGTATAAAATGAACTATAGCATCATTAGTTCGTATGCTCTTTGGAACATGTCTGGGCAGGTGGATTGCTTGGAAGGTGAAACCCCAATCCGAGGCCTTGCTGCAAATTCCACCTTAGGAGGCAAAAAATGACCAGCAACTCTCAAAATCCTCTAGGATCCTCTGTCTAGAAAAAGTATTCTTGCTCTCAAAGTCCACACAGAACCTTCTAAACTGCAAGACATGCATGTGTTACATTCAATACATTTTTACAAAGCAAACCCCAGGAATATATATAAAATTTCTGGGATGTAATTGCTTGGGTAACATTTCCCTTACTGTTGAGTAAGAGAATCTTTAAGAATATGACATATTCTGCTGTAAATTATTAAAATAGGGATGAAAACTAAGAAAACCCATGAGCACCGCAGGCAGAGGCTCTCCCCGTGAGCCATGCGTACCTCTTGCCGTGGGTAGGAGAGGAACTTTTTCCTCGCGGGAAGATCTGCTGCACTTTTGAGCATTCTCAGTTCTCTCTCCCGATTCCCTGTCCTGCTGATCTATCGAGCCATTTGTAGCAATTTACTTCTGGTTTACACTGCGGTAAGTGGAGAGCGTGTTGTGGGGGAATGGCAGCGAAGAACCAAGTGCCTGGCAAGTGTCCTTCCCCGGGGTTGTGTGAGTACACCCAGGCTCTTCTGCAACAGCAGGAGGAACATGGTGGCCTCTTACACCCAGGAGCTTGGGCTCTGTCTCTCCGGGAGCCTGCAGCAGTGGTTCATCGAGCCCCTTTGCCCACGCTGGACCATATCATCCAAGATAAACCAGCTGAAAATGGTGTGCATTCACTGAAGGAACAACACTTCATTACCTGCCCCATATGCACAACTGGAATAGTGTTTTGGGTACCTAGCAGCACTTCTCATTTCAGTCGTGGTAAGGTGCAATTTCTATTTCCTTTATACAGGCTGTGGAGAATGTGAACCTAAAGATAAAAGCCCTTGGGGAAAAAAAAATTCTCATTTTCCTCCTCCTACGTGCCGCATGTAAAC